TCAATTTTTTACTATAATATTATCAAAATATATTTGGATCATATTATAATATATATTAGTTTTAGAATCAAATAAACAAATACTTTATAGATAAATATTTTATTAAAAGATTTTTGTAATGAATAGTGATAGAAGCGTGAGTTGTTTGAAATATAAAAATAAGGTTATATAATGAATTTTTTAAATTAAATACAGATAATGTGGTAACATATTTGGTCGAAACAATTTATAAGCACAGTATTTATAAATTTAAGAAAAAAAAAAAAGGTTTTTCCAATTTATTATTATTATTATTATTATTAGTATAAGTTTAAAAAAAAGTTATATACAAATAGAGCAATTTGATTTTAGAAGAACCTCGCTGTCATACGATACGCCTAAGAAATAGTGATGATTCATGTGAGAAATCTCATTCAAAAGTAGTAGATATTTTATTCTATTCTATGTGAAAAAGAGTCCATATTAATATTATAATAATAATATTTTTTTTATCCATTTGTTTACATAAGCAGTTTGTCACTTACAGAAAGACTCTAGTGGTTATTATTATTCAGTTGTCGCCAAGACATCCAACCGTCTATTTGTTTTTTGTTTCTTCACTGTAGTCACACAATATTGCGGATAAAACCAATTTTTTTTTTTTTTTTTTCTGAATTAGAAGTTGGGGCAATGTCGTTATGATTATATTATATACTATCTCCTTAATTATGTGCTTGTGTGTTGTGGTAACTCTGAAGGTAGAGAAATATTGATTACATTAATGGAGAAAATAGAGCAAAGACCATGCTGTGAAACTCATATCTTATGTTTCACTTATCCTGCACAAGGTCACCTCAACCCTTTCATTCAATTATGCAAACAGTTGGCCGCAAAGGGTCTCAGGGTGACCCTAATCTCCACCATATTATCCTCCACCAAGCTCATCCGAACCCAAGACAGTTCCATCAATGTTGAGCTCATTCCCGATGGGTTCAAAGACAACGAAACGAGGAATATCGATACCTTCTTTGATCGTTACAAGGTCTCCGTTTCTCAAACCCTAGCAGAGTTTATCGAAAAACAACTTAGTTCTGAGTATCCACCTAAACTTCTCATCTATGATTCGCTTGTACCGTGGGCTCTTGACGTTGCAAGAAGATTTGGTATCGATGGAGTTCCATTTTTCACCCAACCTTGGTGTGTTAATGTCGTTTATTATCATTTTTTTAAAGGGACATTCAAGGTTCCTTTAGAGGAGCCTACAGTATCATTGCCCTCTATGCCATCGTTAATGGTCAATGATCTACCATCATTTCTTGATGGAACTGGCTCTTACCCATTTTTGAAAGACTTGGTCATCAATCAATTTACCAATATTGAAGAACCAAAATGGATCTTGTCTAACACTTTCGATAAACTCGAAGATGAGGTAAATTAATTTAATACGTTCATGGTATATATATTTTAATATCTCCATGGTTTCTTATTTTTATAAAGTATTATCACTATTAATATTTATCATGGTTAAGATTGAAAGTACATATTTTGCATGTGGTTTAATGTTGTATGTATATTAATTATAAATTTATGAAATTAGACCTAGTACTATTGTTTATTGCTTATAATTGGAGATTTTCCCAAGTAATCAATTTAAACATTTCTATTATGCAGCAATTGAAATGGGTGGCAAGTAGATACACAAACTTCACAGTTGGACCAACCATTCCATCAATGTACTTAGACAAGCGATTGGAGAATGACAAAGATTATGGCATAAGCTTCTTCAATCCAAACACTGATACTTGCATGAAATGGCTAGACTCCAAGGAGACTGACTCTGTAGTCTATGTATCATTTGGAAGCTTGGCCGCCCTGGACAAAGAGCAGATGGAGGAAGTAGCATGGGGCCTGAAGAGAAGCAACAGCTTCTTCCTGTGGATAGTGAGGGAAACCGAATCTGAAAAGCTTCCGAAAAATTTCTCTGAGGAAACATTTGGGAAGGGTTTGGTTGTGAGTTGGAGTCCTCAACTTGAAGTTCTAGCTCACAGGTCAGTGGGGTGTTTCATGACACATTGTGGGTGGAACTCAACGCTTGAGGCCTTGAGCTTGGGAGTGCCGATGGTGGCGATGCCTCGATGGTCGGATCAAACTACTAATGCTAAGTTTATTGAAGATGTGTGGCAGGTGGGGGTCAGGGTAAGAGTTTATGAGAAAGGAATTGTGACAAGAGAGGAGATTGAGCTGTGTATAAGGGAAGTCACGGAAGGAGAGAGATCAAAGAATATAAGAAGGAATTCGGAGAAGTGGAAAGAATTGGCTAAAGAGGCAGTTGATGAAGGTGGAAGTTCTGATAAGAACATTGAGGAAGTTGTTACAAAACTTGTATGCAGCTGATTCTAAAGCATTATAATTAAGTACTTGACTACTTGTTGGAGCATGTAGATCAAGTCAAGTATTAAATCACGATAAACTAAAATTTACCGAAAATGCTCTTGTTTAAGATATTTTGAAATATAATTTGTCACTAATTCTTTAAAATACCTAGGCTTCAAACAATATATTTTAATTAGACTAAACATAACCGTGAAATAAACTAGGATTCAACTATCAATGGAGCATAATTTAATCAAACATGATTTATGAAAACATCTAATTTCCCATCTATAAACATATAAGTTCGCTAAAACATTCAAATGCATGCATTGTTCACTTCTAACTCCCCAAGGTTACACATAACACCACCAGAAAATTGCTCTAGTCCGATGCAGAGAATGCGCCAGTTCAGAGTAAATTAGCGTGGTTGCAGCTGCAAAACGACACCAGAAATCGCGCCACCCGTTTGTCGCTAGAGGCTTTTCGTATTTCTAATTTTTTGACGCCAACCACCGCATCGTTCTATATTAAAAGACCACGATGCAGGCAGAGTCGTTTCACCTCCGATGGAGGTAGCAGCCCCAAATAAAACTACGACGCCAAGATTGACATTGCATACTGGAGCCTATCAAAACGAAAATCCCAGTCACTTAAGAAATTTTTCTTAGTTGTTTTGTTGTCATTTTACTTTGTTGAAGATCAATTTTCGTTAGCTCTATCCACATCTCCTCCCATCACAATAGTTTTGTATTCAATCAAACTTAGAAGCAGTGTGTATCCCAAAATACTGCGTCAAAAAACAGATAAAAAAAACTTTAATAACCAACAATTATATCAAACGGCTTATAATTAAGTTCAACAAATAATTTAACCCAAAGTGATACCGGGATCCTCGAACACCCTTTCCACCTGTTCTTCTATTTAATCGAAATATTACAAAATATATTTAGAGCCAAAACAATACGAAGAAAAGAAATAAATAAAACCTTAATCTTAATCGTTACCGTAAATCGAAAGCATGGAAAATTACTCTCACATTCTCTTTTTACTCTCGACCCAAATCCTCCATTTTTCGGGTTGTTTACACTTTCATCCTTAAGGTTTGGGGAATATAACTTGCCTCTAGCACTATGAGTATGAGATAAGAATAGTTTAGTTCAATTAGATAAGACTTCTATGTAAAAGTCTATATTACCCTCAGTGTCTTATTCACATGTTATCAAATACTAAGAAAATATTAAAAAAAATGCTAAAAATAGTTCATATTATATTCAGATATAAACTATTAAAAATTGATTTGTTTTTGGTGTACATATATTTTTTACTTTTTTATTATTATTTATTTATTTCTAATAACATATGTATAAGACAACCTAATTATAGACTTTTTATAGAAAGTCTCACTTGGTTTGACTAGTCTGCTCGTATCCTATATTATTGGAGAGAAATAATATGCTTCAAACGTTAAGGATAAAAATGTAAATAACCCTCCTTTTTCTTTCCTTGTTTCTCTGTTATTTCCTATTTCTCCTTTTGTTTCTTTGTTCCTACATCCTCGGTTCATTACAAATTGTCACTCCAATTTTGCAAATTAGGTTTGCAAGTCTATCAAGCATTAAATGCTTGTCTTCATTTTGTTTCTTTTCGTCATGTTTTATTTTGAGCAATCCATTAAGATTGAAAGCTTTCAAATAAACCCTCTTTTCTCATGTCACATTACCTCGTCCTTTATTCTCTCAATAAATACAGATTACATGTGCTACAGCATCGTGACATGCATGTCATATTTTATCTTTGAATAATACTACATATACATCATTCTCATACAACATTTTTCATACAACATTATGTGACAAGATATGATTGGGTGAAAGTTTAATTTTAATTATAAAGTAGCCAATCATATATTGTCACATAATATTGTATGAGAAATATTGTATGGGAATTATGTATGTGTAGTATTACTTGTTAAGTCCTCATTCTTCTTATTTTCTTTCAAATTTAACCTCACCCTCTCATTCTTTTTATCTTAAACCATCCACTTAGATTAAAAACACTATGAAAAGAACCCTACTAACTAAAGGTTTACAAAAGAACTAGCCAGAACCGGAATCAACAGGTACCTAGGGTTCCTGTTCTAATTCCTACCTGGAATTGACCCTTACAAGGTAGGTTCCGATCCTAGAAATCAGAAACTGGCCGGTTTCAATTTTGGTTTCACCCTTGCAAGAACTAGGAACCGGAATTGGAACAGAGATCCAAGTACCCGGGTAGGAATCGGGATTGAATTATAATTTTTGTAAACTATTAGGGGTATATTATAATTTTTAAGGATTTGTTTGTCATTTTAAAAAATAGAGGGGTAATTGAAATTAACGTAGGTACCCGGAACTGGAACTGAAACCGGAACCTATGTTCCAGGTTCTGCTGCTTCAATACCCTTAATTAACTAAAGAATATAATTGATATAAATGTTAATGTTCAACCCATACCTACTAATTTAACAAATATATATAAGAAAGTAGTTCTTGCATATGTTTTCATGGAGATAGAGAAAAAAAATGGAGATCATAGAGCAAAGAGTTATAAGCAGTGATCAAATTCATGTTGTATGTATCACTTTGCCAGCTCAAGGTCACATAAACCCGATGCTTCAATTCTGCAAGCGCTTAGCATCAAAAGGCCTCAAGGCGACTCTAATTTGCACAAACGCAATAACTAGGAAGTGCATCCAAACTCAAGCCACCTCCATCAACGTTGAGCACATTTCTAATGGATCCAATGACGATGAAAGTCCCGGAAATTTCGGTCTCTGTCTTGATCGTTTCCAGACCTTTGTTTCACTGTTTCACAAAACCTCGCTGAATTCATTGAGAAACAAATGAGTTCTGATTACCCGCCTAAATTTCTTGTTTACGATTCGTTTATGCCATGGGTTCTCGACATAGCGAGAAGATTTGGCATCGATGGAGCTCCTTTTTTCACTCAACCTTGGGCTGTTAATGCCATTTACTATCATTTCCATCAAGGGAGATTCAAAGTTCCTTTGGAAGAGCCTATAATTTCCTTGCCTTCAATGCCACCGCTGAGGATCAATGATCTTCCGTCGTTCATTAAGGGAACTGACTCTTTTCCGTTTTTGATTAACTTTGTCAGACAATTTTCCAATTTTGAAGAATGGAACTGGGTCTTCTGTAACACTTTCGATAAGCTGGAAGATGAGGTGAATTTACTTCAACATTAGTTAACATGCAGTCATTGACATTAAAAGTTCATAAAAGTTAAGATATCATGTCTTACAATATTCATTGACACACATGCAGTCATTCTTTCTTACAGATATCAAAATTATGATACCATGTCTTAGATACATTGATAAGCATACCGTAATTGTCTCTTACAGATATAGAAATTAACTACTGTCTATTAACACAAGTAATTCATCAGAATTAGGATTTTATGTCTTGGATTATTCATCGATTTGCGTGCATGTGTTTTTTAGTCTTAAAATATTGTACGTCTACCTTAAAGGGTTGACCTGACGATCAAGTAAGTTTGCTCTATTCATTAATATTATAACTACTCACAGAAAGAATCAACCAAAAATAGCAACAGATCAAGAACAAGAATCACACCAATCACACACAAGAACAACAGATTTACCGTGGTTCACTTGCTCTATAGTTGAGCAAGCTACGTCCACGTTGAACTCGAGAATCACACGAGCTCGCTGCACTAATACTGTCAAGATTACAGATTACACACACAGCAACACAAATCCCTCAAAACCCCCTTCTTCAACCCGTAACTAACCCTAGAGATCCCTTCGAATCCCTAAATACAGCGTATACAATACACCCAAAATGACCTGACCAGTCACTCAACAAACAAGTTACAAGAAACACTCAACCCAAACTGAAAAACCCTAAAGGCTCAACAATGGTGTTTAACGAAGAAGAGAGAGACTTGTAAAACGAAAAATGAATCGAATCTGTAAACTGCCAAAATAATTCTGCTTTTATATGGTTGACATTAGGGTTGAATTTCATCCATTGGATCTTCTTTTCATCAACGCTCAGGATTGTTTCTGTCATTTAGATCAAAGCGACGTCGTTCCACTTAAGTGCAAATACGACAGCGTTTCAAGCCACATCCACAATCTCCCCTTGATGGGTTGAAAAACAGCCCCTGTGCTAGTGCAGCTTGCCTTTAGTGAGTCCTTCATTGTTCTCTTGTTACTGTTGTCTGAATGACGTAGGTAAGCAATGCTTGAACTTCGTAATTGTAACAATCTTCGTACCCATGTCTACTGGATTATGCTCAGTGGGAACCTTATTGAGTATATCTCCCCCCTAGTATCATACTCTCACAAGTAATAGCGAACTCTATGTGTTTGGTTCCTCATGGTACACTGGATTCTTACTCAAGTGTATTGCACTTTGACTGTCTGAAAAATGTTGGTCTCAGTTCAGTCAGTTTTGCTTCACTTAGGATCCCTTTGAGCCATATTACCTCTTTAAATACATCAGCTACAGCCACATATTCAGCTCAGTTGTTGATAGTGCAACTATAGCTGTAATTGGGACTTCCAGCTGATGCAGTTGCCCCCCAGGTAAAGTAATATGCAGTGGTTGACTCCTAGTGTCCCTGTCACCTGCAAAATCAGAGTCTACAAAACCATCCAGCTCAAGTGAGGTAGATCTTTTATAATATTCCAGTCCCCCATTCAAAGACTCACTAACATATTTGAGTACCCACTTCAGGGCTGTCCAATGTTCATACCAGATTGGACATGAATCTACTCACAAAGATATCACAATGATAGGTCAGGCCTAGTGCTAATCATAGCATACATCAAAGATCCAATCACATTAGCATAGGGAATGGTCTCCATTCTATTGACTCAGTATCTGTATTAGGGCATTGGGACTTGATTAAGGTGAAGTCGTTTGCTAAAGGCATTGAGACAGTTTTGGACCCTGACATCCCAAACGTTTCTACTAACTTATGCAGATATGACCACGTTGAATTTCAGTTTGCATTTACTCCTGTTTCTATCAATTTGCATTCCTAAAATCTTTCTACATCCCCTAGTCTTTCATTTCAAATTCGCATTCAGTTTCTTCTTTACCTCACGACAGAGGCTTTGATTTACTATAAGTAACATGTCTCTCTACAACAGTAAGTAAATAGGTATTTCATCTAAAACGCAAAGTAGAAACAACTGTCATATTTACTCCTAGTGAATCATATACTTACTATAAAGGTGTCAAACCTCTTATACCATTGTCTAGGGGATTGCTTTAGACCATATAAGATTTCAACAGTAGGCAGACATGTAGGGGCCCTTTTATCTAGGAAACCTAAGGGTTGGCTCATGTGATCTCTTCCTCAAGATCTCCATGAAGGAATGCAGTTGTGACATCTAATTGTTCAAGCTCTAGATCCTGGTGAGCTACTATGGACAGCATAAGCCTTATGGTTTTGTACTTAACTACTGGGGAAAAGACTTCATTGAAGTCAATTCCCCCTTTTGGGTGAACCCTTTGCTACAAGTCTAGCCTTATACCTGAGGGATCCTTATCAGTGATACATTCCTTTAGTTTGAACAGCCACTTGCATTGTACCAAGTTTCTGATCCTTGGGCTTTGGTACAAGCTTCCAGGTTCTGTTCACCTCCAAGGATTTCATTTCAGCTTCTATGCACCTTCCATTGGTCACTTTCTTTTGTCTGCATGGCTTCTTCATAGTTTCTGGTTCTCTTCTTTGTACTTCAGTACCTGCAAGGAGGGCAGTGTATATTAGGTCACATAGATATCTCATGTTTGCCCTTACCTGTCTTCTGGTTCTGTCTCTTGCAAGCTGGTAGTCTTGCAAGTGTTCAGGTTAGATCTCAGTATCATCTACTATTTCTATCTCTTCCTCATGTTCTGGATCAGTTTGTCCAGTTTCTTCTCCATGTTCAGTAACAACTCCAGTTTCTTCTGTGGTTTGAGTTTGGACGGAAGCTCCACCTCATTAGTGTAACTTCAGGTTGGGTGAAGGGATCATCTGTTCTTGACATGGGGTCAGTTTCTGCTAGTTTCCTTACAAGGAAAAACTCCCTCATTGAATATGACATCTCTGCTCATAATGATTTTAACCCCTGAAGTATCTCTTTCCCAAAGTCTATACCTTTGGTCCCTTCTTGAACCCCAGGAATATGCACTTGGTTGACCTAGGTTCCAATTTGCCTCCTGTGGTGTGTGCATAGGCAGCACACCCAAAAACTCTCAAGTGGTTTAAGGCTGGGACTCTACCTGTCCATATTTCCTCAGGGCTCTTTAAGTTTATAGCAGTAATGGCTTCTATTACCATGTAGCACTGTTATAAGGGCTTCTCCCCAAATGAGGTAGGGAGTTTGGAGGTTATTAACGGCACCTAACCTTATCAAGGAGGGTTCTATTCATTCGTTCTGCCACTCCATTCTGTTGTGGGGTATATGTCACTGTCCTATGTCTTAAAACCCCTTGGTCACTACAAAACTTATCAATTCTTGATTACAGAATTCTAGCCCATTGTCTGTTCTGAGAACCTTCACCTTTTTTCCCATTTGGTTTCTACTAGGGTTTTCCAATCCTTAAACCTAGCTAGGGCCTGATTTTGGTTTTCAACAAGTATACCCACACTTGCGGCTATAGTCATCCACCAGACTGAGTAATTATTCCCTCCATAAGACTTCACTTTTCCAGGTCCTCAAAGGTCAGAGTGAATGTATTCTAGTGGACTAGTGGTAGGTGTGTCCCTTTGGTGAAGCTATTTCTATGCTGTTTCCCTATAAACAAAATTCTCACAGAATTCGAGGAGTGGTCTTGTCCTTTCCAAAATGCCCTTTTATCTTCAGAATGTCCATGCCCCTTTGACTCATGTGGCCTAATCTAATGCCACTTTTCTGTATTGGACAAGTTAGTAGAAGTAATCACAGAGTTAAACAGTTTTGGGAATAATTTCCACAAAGGATATAAACCATTTCTCTTCTCTCCTTCAGTATCAAGTTTGTTATCCCTATCTATGTTCAGCATCCATGTTCTGCTTGTAACAACATCCTGATTCACTAAAGTGCCAAGGGATATCAAGTTTCTTTTAAGTTCTGGTATGTATCTGACCCTAGTTAGTCTTACCACTTTTCCAGTGTTAACCCTTAGAGTCACAATGCCTACCCCTTTTACTCTGCAAGCATTATTGTTTCCCATGTACACAGTTTCATTTTCAACATTTTCAAAATCCTGGAACCAGTCTCTCCTAGGGCTCATGTGAAATGAACAGCCTGAGTCCAGTACCCACTCTTCACCAGTCATTCATGCACAGTAGGACTTCAGGCTCCTCTACCGGTTTCTAATAGTAGCTAGGTTATTCTCAGTATTCCCTTGTTTTTGCTTTTTATCCACTCAAAATAGTTCTTTTTAATATGCCCAATTTTATTACAAAGAAACATTTTCTGGACTCTCCTCTATGCTTGTTACTGCCCTTCCATTTTTTCTTATTTCTAGCCTCCTGATTATTCTGATTTCCCTTGCCAGTGTGACTAGGTTCTGGTCTACTCTTACAAATAGATTTGTCCATTCCGTTTCTAAGTTTTCAATTCTAATTCTCTAGCCCTAAGTCCTGCTGTTATTAGGTCAAGATTTGGTACAGTACCAGAGTACTGTAGGGCATTCTTGACTACTTGGTAGTCTTCAGTCGGGAATTCAATAGAATCATAGCTAGGCTGGTTTCTCTCTAAGGCTTGATCTGTCCCTTTTAGAACCAAAGTCATTTTCAGAAACTCATCTAAGTTTTCATCTATACCTTAGCACTATCCATTTCATAGAGAATAAAGCCCCCTTTAAAAGGAGGTTGGGGTAGATTGCAATGCATACAAGGTAGTGAGTTTACCCCAGAGTTCAATAGGTGATTCATTCCATCTACCTTCCGAGATGCTGTCAGATAGTTCATGATTATCAGATTGTATGCCTCCTCATTGATCTCCTCTTCTTTTTCAACTCTCCCTGGCCATTTTTCGGAGTCCTCTTCTAGTGCGATGGCAACCTTGTTGTGGGAAAGCAATTCTTCATTTTTTTCTTCCAACTCCCAAATCGATCTTCCCATCATATTGGAGACTCTATACGAGTGGTACTCATTACAATATAATGAAAATAAAGAAAACAACAAAGAATCTAAGAAGGTACGTGGCTTTGTTACACCAGACTTTGCCAATTACTGCCAGACAGTTTTTAAGGCTGTTACTGGTTTCCAACCTATATACCTCTTAGAACTTAGCACTTACGAAGGTACGTGGCTTTGTTACACTAGAATTGTCAATTACTGCCAGGCAGTTTTTAAGGCTGTTACTGGTTTCCAGCTTATATACCTTTTGAACTTAACCAAGATTTGACCCCCTAGATCATATTGGAGACGAAGGAATCACAGTTTCGAAAAACCCACATTTCCAAGAAACCTTAATTTTGAAACCCTAATTTCACGAACCCTAATTTCGCGAAACCCTAATTTCTCAACAAGAAACCATATCTTCCAAAGATGGCTCTAATACCACTGTTTATAACTACTCACAGAAAAATCAACCAAAATAGCAATAGATCAAGAACAAGAATCACACCAACATCCACACAAGAACACAGATTTACCATGGTTCACTTGCTCTATGGTTGAGCAAGCTATGTCCACTTTGAACTCGAGAAATCACACAAGCTCGCTGCACTAATACTTTCAGGATACAGATTACACACATAGCAACACAAATCCCTCAAAACCCCCTTCTTCAACCCGTAACTAACCCTAGAGATTACACCCTTCGAATCCCTAAATACAGCGTATACAATCACCCAGAATGACCTGACCAGTCACTCAACAAACAAGTTACAGAAACACTCAACCCAAACTGAAAAACCCTAAAGGCTCAACAATGGTGTTTAAAACGAGAGAGAGAGACTTGTAAAACGAAAAATGAATCGAATCTGTAAACTGCCAAAATATTCTGCTTTTTATGGTTGACATTAGGGTTGAATTTCAGCCGTTGGATCTTCTTTTCATCAACGCTCAGGATTGTTTCTGTCTTTTAGATCAAAGCGACGTCGTTCCACTTAAGTGCAAATACGACAGCGTTTCAAGCCATCATCCAACAATTAAGTTTTTAGGTTTAAACCTTGGAACTATCTTCACATTATGACTTATCTGGTCCTTGTACTTGTAGGTGTTCAATGGATCTCAGGGATTAGTTGAGATGCATATAAGCTGGTCTGAACACCCCGTAAAAAAAAAAAAAATGTTTGATTCTTCCTTTTGTTTATATATAGAAAATGAAATGATGTCAGAAGTTAATTTGTTTCTTACAATAGGACTCTTTCTCTTGGCCGCTATGCCCTAAAAAATGATGGTTTTATTTTCTTTATTAATTAGTCACTGCCTGTTGGCATCTCGTTCCTGCCTGTACAAATTTATGTGCATGTCTTGTTGATGGTAAAAAAATATGATAAAACAGAGGAAAGTTGAGTCTCGTGATGAAATACGTTTTGGTTTTTTTTTTTTTTTTTTTTTTTTTTTTTCTTTTTTTTTTTTTGGTTTTTCCTCAGACTGCCAGCCTTTTCCGGTCTTTTGTGCTTTGTTCTTTCTTCCTTAAAGGAACATAACGACGATCACTATAATAAAGTTTGTTTTTTTCTGATGAATCAATTTAGTATAAGTTCTATTACATATTAAACTTGGCAACATCAATTATGTTAGGAACAAATTGGTTGTTAACCGCTAAGCCAACCTCTTAAGGTTGTTAGGTAATTATTAATTATGAAAGGTAGTAACAATATTCATTAGATACTGGTATTGAGAGTTGAATGTAAAAGGCTCCATTGATATTAAAGAGGGAATGACCTTTAGCCATTTTGTTCAAGCTAAATTTGAAAGCAATAGTAATTCTTTTTTCAATCACTCCCCTACTCTCAATCATCTTAGTTAGCTTGAGACCTTAGCTAAAAGCTCTTTTCCAATAGATTATATATTAAACATTTTTTAACAAAGCTATTTATATAAATTACATAAATTTTATGCGTTACAAAATTCTTCAAAATACGATAAACTTTCCTGAAGCAAAAAAGAGGAGCCTAAGGAACACAGGATGAATTCAAAGTGATGAAGCTTACATCTTATGTTGTAGCTTTCCTGCACAAGGTCGCTTGAACCCATCTTTGTGAGATTCTTAGGATTGAGTGAAGAAATTCTTGAAAGCGAAACTTTCTAGAGAACAAACAGAAAGTTGATAAAAAAAAAAAAAAAACTTTTGAAAAGTAGATTGTTTTTTATAATTGAAAAGAAAGCATGACAGAAGCTTTAACTTCTTCATGAGCATTAAAACAAACAATAGAGCTGCATTTCTTCTTCTTGAATATCGAATTCATGAAACGCAGCGTTTTATTTGTTGATTTGTCCAAAAGGCAGCACTTCATTTATTATCTAATGGATACCGTTAACTTCTGTTAATCCAACGTAACTAACTTAACAGATTTTTAACAGAGTACTGCTTCAAAGCAGCCTTTTTATCAAAAAAGTACGTATCAATAGCAGCTACTAAATCAATCTTCTGAGCTCCTTTCTTCCACTGAATTTTCAATCTCACCTTTAATATCACCTTTATTACTTCCTACACAGAGATTCTTCAATTCTGCAAAGCATTGACCTCTAAAGGCCTCAAGCTGACCCTACTCCCCACCACTTCATCCACAACCACTAGCAATTTCATCCAAACAAAAGCCACTTCCATTGACATCGAGATCATTTCCGATGGAATCGAGGGCAAAAGTAGACCAATGCCTTGGATGCCGCAGCTAAAGATCAATGATCTACCATCATTCCTTGATGGAACTGACTCTTACCCTTCTTTGTTAAAGTTGGTTGTCAGCCAATTTTCTAATATTGAAGAATCCAAGTGGCTCTTCTGTAACACTTTTGATAAGCTTGAAGATGAGGTGAATTTAATTTTACACAGATTTATATAATCATTGTCAGCTGTATTATCAAATTCATATGAATTTAGCATTAATTTTTGTTTATTGCTCATATTTGTAGAGTTTCCAAAGTAATTTATGCTATAAAATTCCTTTATGCCTGCTGTTTTAAAGATGTTTTGCTAATTTAATTCTATCAGGTAGTGAAATGGATGGCAAGTAAATTCCCAGTGAAGAATGTTCGGCCAACCATTCCATCAATGTACTTGGACAAGAAGTTGGAGAATGACAAAGATTATGGCCTCAGCCTCTTCAAACCAAGCACTGATACTTGCATGACATGGCTAGACTCCAAGGAAACTGGCTCTGTAGTCTGTGTATCATTTGGAAGCTTGGGTGCCCTGGAAATAGAGCAAATGGAGGAAGTCGCATGGGGGCTTAAGAGGAGTAATTGCAACTTCTTGTGGGTAGTGAAGAAATCCGAATTCGAAAAGCTTCCGAAAAAATTCTGTGAGGAAACAATTGAGAAAGGTTTGGTTGTGGGTTGGAGTCCTCAAACTGAAGTTCTGGGTCACAAGTCAGTGTGGTGTTTCATGAAACATTGCGGGTGGAACTCGCTCGAGGCTCTGAGCTTGGGAGTGCCGATGGTGGCGATGCCAATTTGGACAGATCAAACAACTAATGCTAAGTTTGTTGAAGATGTGTGGCAGGTTGGGGTTCAAGTAGGAGTTAATGAACAAGGAATTGTGACAAGAAAGGAGATCGAGGTTTGTATAAAGGAAGTCATGGAAGGAGAGAAATAAAAGGAGTTGAGAAGGAATTCAAGGAAGTGGAAGGAATCAGGCAGTAGATGAAGGTGGAAGCTCTGATAGGAATATTGAAGAATTTGTTGCAAAACTTGTATGTGCAGCTGCTGGTGATCATTCTACTTCATAATTCATGATCTTAAAAGAATTTGTAATTAATTCTTTTGCTGAATTATCTTCCCTCAGCATAAGACAAAAGTCGAACAGCAAGTCTTGATCACTTTGAACGTTACAGGATATTCGTTTCGAAAAGCCTATCTGACTTCATTGAGAAACAACTTAGTTCTGAGCACCCGCCTAAATTTATCGTTTATGACTTGATTATACTGTTGATTTAGACATAACCAGGAGATTCTGCATCGATGGGGCTTTATTTTTCACTCAACCTTGGGTTGTTAATTCGATTTACTATCATTTTCTTCAAGGGAAATTCGGAGTTCCTTTAGAAGAGCCTATTGTGTCATTGCCTTACACGCCGCCACTGAGGATCAGTGATTTACCATCATTTTTTGATGGAACTTGTTATGAAATGATTTGTGTATTCTGGTGTGGAAGCTGCAGCAGCAAATTCCTGATGTTACGGAATCAGCAGATAAAACAGAGAGGAGACGCAGAGCTCCGTTCTTTCCCATTCATACTCAAAACTTCCAGATTCATATTCAAAAATTCACTACTCAACGGTTCTATTAACGGCAGCTGCAACAGTTTCTGTTAAAGAGGCGTTAGTTGGCTTTAGTTGATATTCTCAGTTTTGTTTTTAAAAATTTAGTGCTCAACGGTTTGATTAACAAATTTCTGTTAAGTGGCGTTAAATCCTCTTTAGTGAAAGGGTGCAGTTTAGTAATTAGTATTAAGATGAAGCTCACAATCTCAACAGTTTCAGATTAAAGCTATAGTTTTTTTTTTTTTTTTTTTTTTTTAACAGGCCGTCTGACCAGCTTATGCGTCTCAACTAATCTCTCTGTGGCCCTGAAATTGATAGTCAGATAAATCTTCTCAAAAGTCACCTTATTAACAAATCAGATGGATCAAACTTGAAACTTCTTGAATAATACATCAAAGAGTTTTAATTAACCACTGGGTTAGTGGTGGTTAGGTTTTATGAGCTTATTTCAACTGTAACTCAGCAAGATTGGAGATGTGATCAGCGGTTAAAAGGCAGTCAGTTTGAGCTTCTTTTAAATCAATGGTGTTTATTTGCTGAGTCTGCAAGTGTGACGCGGATAGACAAAGTGGACTTATTTTTAGGATAAAAGCAGTTAAGAATTCTTTGTAAAATAAGCTAAATAAAACAAAGTTCAGTTCTGGAAAATTCGTTCTTCTCTCAAGATTTTCTATTTGTTTCTCTGGAAAGTGTAGGCTGCGTTTGTTTCAGTTTTGGGAATACTACTTTTAGTATTCCCAAAAAAGTTAAACAGTAAAATACCCAAAAACTCAGATTTTTGGGAATACTACTCCCAATATTATTCAACTTTTTTTAAACCCCTTACATTTGATAATTTAATTAAATACCCTTAAATATTTTTTTTTAAATTATAAAAACACCCCAATAATCCACATTTACCAGATTCTGGCCACCACCACCGGAAAATGGTCGGAATCTAGTAGGATGGCGCACTACCGGCTGAATCTGGCCGGTAGTGCGCCGATCTAACCTTTTCCGGCCAGATCCACGGTGGATCTGGCCAAAAAAGGCCAGATCTAAGGCCAAAGATCTGGCCGTTGACGGCTAGATCTTTGGCCGTAACAGTCGGTCACGACGGCCAAACAAACGGTCGTCGTTGACCATCAACGATGACCGTTTGTTGGCCATCGTTGAGAGCATCTACGGCCAGATCTGGCGGTTGACGGCCAGATCTGGCCGTAGATCTGGACTTTGCCGGCCAGATCCACCGTGGATCTGGCTGGAAAAGGCCATATCGGTGCATGACCGGCAAGATCCAGCCGGTCATGCGCCCATAATACGATTTCGGCCACCTCCGGTGGTGGTGGTCAACTGGGGGTGTTTGAGGGTGGGTTAGGGGTATTTTTGTTAACTTTTAATGTTTTATTATAGGGGGTATTTTGTAAAAAAAAAATATATGGGATATTTTATTAATTTATAAATTCTACATCGTAATACCCGCCAATTCAACTTTTTTTTAACTTTTTTCAAAAAACTTTTCCCAAAACCCCCAAATTTTGAACCAAACGGAGCCGTATAGATTTCTGGTTTTTCTTCTCATTCGATCCTAAGATTCTCACAGAACTGGCTCTTACCCATCTTTGCTATACTTGCTCGTTAGTCAATTTTCAAACGTAGAACAACCAAAATGGCTCTTTTGTAACACTTTTGATAAGCTGGAAGATGAGGTAAATTCCATTTTGCACATATATTTATATAATCATTCCCAGCTAATTAAAGTGTTGGATGTGATTCATAGTTTGCATGGGGTTTCTGAATTATTAGCGTACGTACGTTGACACATCCAACACAGGTGGGGGTGAGGAGGTAGCGTCCCTTCACTGTAAGCCCAATCAGTAATTGGGTTTGGAGGTGTTTTGTAAATATTTGGGTTTTATAAGTTTAGCTCAAATGTGATTATGTTTACTATTATATATAAATATTATAATAGTGGAAAAACCTAATGTGAGAAAAATATACAAAGAGAGGAGAGGAAGAGTGAACTATCGTCGTTACTATTGTATTCCTACATACTTTCGAAACTTAATAAAAATTCCTCTGTCTCGACTACTAGATGTAGTTTCTATATTGGGAATGAACCAAGATAAATGGATTATCTTCTTTACTTTTTTGCTTCAATTATTTTGTGTGTTTTGGCAATATTTTTCAACATGGAGATCTAAAGTTCAGATTTTCGTTTATGGCTAATATTTGCAAATTTTCAGAAATGATTTATATATTTATTGTTATGCCTAAATTAAGGGTTGACCTATGTTGACGTCACCAAGCACCAATTAGAATTTAAGAAAGCATTCCACCATCTAGAACATGTCACATCTCCAAAGGCAAAAGGAGTATAGATGTCAACAACCCAACTGACTCAAAAATTTGTCCCTGAATGAATTTGGTTCATGCTCTTATCCAAGCCCCATTTAATTTAAGGATATTCTTTGAGTTCCCAACGAATGGGAAGGTAGGAGAAATCTTTACGGCATCAAGCCACTTGCAAAAGTGTAATTATTACCTTGACCAAAACGGGTATAAATAGGCAGCTCCCTCTTACAGAAATGGGATCAGACGCTCATAAAAAACGGGATCAGACACTCATACATTCAACAAAGAAAATAGCAAAGACACACTACTAGAAAGAGATTGACTTAGCATTCTCTAAGAACGCTTAGAACATCAAACATTTGTAATACTAAATTGCAGTTTGCTATTAACGATAAAGACCAAGTTAGGGGTAAATGTCTCAGATCCTACATCAGAAGCACACTATGGAGGTCTTAGGCTTATAAGCGAGAGAGTTCGTCCACCTACTAGGTTAGCCTTTTGGGTGTGAAACTCACAACCGTGACACTTAGCACACTTATTTACAAAGTATTATCCTATCTTGTTATAATTATATATTGAAGCATAGAGTATGGGCTTATAATTATATAGATCAAATTCATCTCAAAAGAATTTGTTGCTAACTTTCTGAGTATTTGCTCAACTTTGTTTGTGTTGATGGAGATCATAGAGCAAAGAGTTTATATTCTAGATTCTATCTGAGGAGATAAATTATTTAAGATTTAAATTAATTAAATACATGTTTTACGTATGGTTAAATCTTGTTTGCTATATTGTTCATTTGTTGATATAAACAATGAAGTCCAAGAAGTTTGTTTCTTACAAAAGGACACTTGCTCTTTGCTGGGGTATGCCCTCGAAACATAACGGTTTGTTGCTATTACTACGTCATCAATATCATTATATTTATATTTTATTTTCTCTATGTACTCCTAAAGACAGCTAACTTTTTCTTGTGTTTTGCTTAATTAATTTGTCATTTCTTCTTTAAATAAAGAGTTATTAGCGAGAAATTAGTTGGTACAATGGCTTTGTTTGACTTGCCTTGTAGTTTCTAAAAACTGTCAATCAACATCACTCAAACGTGGAACATCTTCCAACTAATTAAGTTCTCCAAATTTTGCAATAGAGTAAACGACTTTTTCCTACCTAAGGTTTGTCTTAATTACACTTTCCCACCCAAAAAGTTTCACAATACCACTTTCCCACCCAACATTTATATTTCGCTAATACTCAAAATACAATTCACTTTCTCAACTGGCGTTCAGTGAGTAACTAGGAGCCAAGGTAAGAGGGTTTTTATAGAGTGAGGGCCGATGGATCTAATAGTGGTGGCGATTAAATATTAACTGTCGGAAATAAGCTAAGAACAAAAAACTCTAATTTTGCGATGGTCGGTAATCAATAATAAACCAAGTGTCGAAGTGAGAGGGGTTTTGTAAAGAGGAGTCTGGAGGTTCAGATAGTGGTGACAAAAAAAAAATTCGCAGTTGGAATTAGCTTTAGGTAGTAATGGAATATTAAATTTGGATAAGAAAGTAGTATTTTGAAATTTTTTGGGTGGGAAAGGGTCATTAAGGCAAACCTTGGGTGGGAAAAAGTCGTTCACTCTTTTGCAATATATTAAACATAATTAATTGAACTGAATTATAAATCCTGTCGGTCCATGTATAGTCGTGTACAAAACAGATAAATTCTCTCTACTTTTGGAATTTGATTCATCCTCTGAACTTTCAAAGATCTTATATCGTTTATTATTTGTTTTTATTCATACGTGTTCAACATCTCTACTGTTCTTTTATTTGCATGCATCAGCAATCCATCAAATCATTGTATTTAATATAACTCAAATTATTAATATAAGATTTTGGTTCTTTCTTCTCGTCTTTTCTCCCCCATTCCTCCCTCATATATATCTTAAATCTTCATTAATCTTCTCCATGTGCTTGCCTGCAAAAGGATGTGATCATGTGAGAGTTGT